TTACATATAAACTGAATTCATCACCTTCATTCTATACAGATGAGGGCAAACTAGGGCTAATCTCAAGTGCACTCTACCAATCTGTCAAACTTTTTTATAAACACTATTTCTCCAGCTTATTGCATGAACACAGAACCTGTCCTACGCTCAGGTCTCCGTCTCTGCAGCTCCCGACTCTGGGAAGCATTTGCATATTTGCGGCGTGTTTATCTGCGGGGATAAGTGATATTTAATAAGGTAATGGCTGAAGTGAGAATTTCAAATCTTTCATCAGGTCTTCAATGTTTGCTGCTCTGTTTTGAACAGCATGTCTAATGTGGGAGGAGGCATGACATGAGAGTAGTGATAAGACGCAGAACACCCACACCTTGTTATCAGAAGCCTGGTACCAAGTGGAGCTGCATCTGGAGCCTTAAAGTGTGTGTGTATGTGTACATGTGTTTCTGAGAGAGAAAGAGGTTTTGGTTCAGTTTGAGGAGGTTCTGCTCCGAGCAAATGCCTCTTTCCTCTGCTTTGACTGCGAGAGCCTTTGTTGTTAACCCTCCTTCCTTCACACACTCATCTTCCACCTTTCAGAATGGACGGGGAGGACGAGGGGTCGAGGGTTAAAGGGAGGAAGGAGGTGACGTAGGATAACCTACGAAAGGAGTGGAAGGATGGTTGAGGAACATTCTCCAGATGCGATGCCTGAGAGGAAGCTATCGGGCTGAGGAGCCAGAGGAACGGGTGACAGCAGGGGTCAAGCTGACAGACAGATACCTCTATCTGCCCGTGACAGGACACACTGAGCACAGATTTATCTGGAGGTGCTACTCCAGGTCTACGTCTCTGACTGACACCGCAAACTGTCATCCAGATCCACAGCAGACATCACTGCCCATCCCTCATGAATAAGGCTCTGTTTTTGTAAAGAGAAATCTCCCCAGGCAATTTCACCTTTTCTCTGGCAAACGTCAGCAACAAAAGGTGTATTGATGTCAAAGCATCATTTTATGCAAGGAACCTTTTTCCTTCAATGTGTCAAATCAGTGTCACATCTCTTCAAAAGTTTAATATAATTATTTTCAATCAGTTGTCCAACAGCTTATGAGAGCTTTTACTTTGTCATGAATCACAAGACACAAAAACTAATTCCTGCCTCTTCTCACCAACTCCTATATCTGACAAAACAATCTACGCTTAAGGTCCCCTAACTTGATTGTTCTAGAACTTTTCGACTAAATCACACTTCTTCATCGTCTTCATCAGCGGAAAAGGTTATCAAACGCTCCTGTATATTCTTAGCACTTTATGCTGGACAGTTGAGTTTGACAGTTCATTCTTGACTTTGGAAATATCAGTTGACAAAATACTTGCTTGTTCTTGAGCTTTTGACCATATCACAAGTCTTCAAGCTTTAAGCTCAACTAGCAACCATGAATGACGGAAGTGCTCAGAATAATGAAACGTTGGATCTATTACATGACACCTTAGCAACCTTTGACTGCTGATGAAGACTGTGTGACATGATTAAATCACTAGAACAGGAGAGAAAGTGGACCTTGACTGGAGACTGGATTAACTGTCAACTCATGCCAGGTCTGTTTTCAAATTTCCTCAAGTAAAAGACTCCAGTGGTTGTTTGCCTGCTCAGACCTTTCACCTTAGATTTCTGAGTTCATCAGTCAGCCACTTTGGTCAGTCCTTCCAACAAGCCCTCATACAAAAACAATTCTTATCTGCCCCCTCTGAGGTAACAGTTAGGTGGTTGTGGATGGAAGAGGGTGTTTGACATTAATGCAGGAGATAATGAGTTTGCATCCCATCACACATCTGCAATTAATATCCGCCCTCCTATTTACTGTAACTTATCTGCCATAACCAATTTCTTCCCTTAACCCATAACCTTAAACGAATCCTTGGTAGTAGAAAGTGACAACTAACTTGTTGACAAAGGATGTAAAAAACAGGAATCCAATATCAGCATTCCTATCTGGCAGTAGGCTTTACTATGCATGACCACAAGAGGTTGGACAACATAAAATTGGTCATTATAAGAATTTTAACAAATGTCTGATTGCTTGTTTTTGAGGACAGCCTACACATACAACTTTGGTGAATGTCTTTTGTTGAGATTGCCACGGAATTTGGTGGGAATATTCATGGTTCTGGGCAGCCGTGATTCAGATAACCTAGCTCCACCCCCAAGCTAACAGTTCACACAATAAATCAGGTTCATCTGGATTGGACAAAATGTCAGCAGTCAAGATCCCATAGGAAAACTGTGATTAAATGTGATCAGCACAATCATGCTCCCAAGGAGAAAACCCTTTTTAAATTGAATGACCCCATGGTCTTTCCTCTAGTGCCACCCTCAGTACAAATGTCACACTTTAAACCCCACAGATGGTAAGAACAGCAAATCAATCAGTAGCTTGTCCTGACACTTTTACTTCTCTCCCAAAATCTGTATTTAGGAATAAAGCCACAGTAAAACTTGAACTTGGACTCTCAGTTTTACGAGATTGTTTGCTGTTATTTATAGAGTGCCTTAAATATAACAAAAGGATGGGTGGATGGGCAGGAAGAACAGCCAAAGGAGTAAAACTGCAGAAAAGGAGGAAAGGGAAAAGGGAGGAGACTGGGTTGTGTTTTTGTTGGGAGTACCTCCTCAGACAGAAGATCGAAGTGTAACCAGTTTATTGTGAGTGTGACTCTATTTGTCTGTCCGTCAAGGGATGTACGAGCCTGTGGGCAGACACCACAGTGTGCTGTTTAGTCACAGCAGAGTGGGGGGGGGGCTCAGGAAACAGCTAACAGGAGCTTCCCGGGGAAAAAGCCGAGGGGCGATCGCTGATGTTCTATAGGAGGAAATGAGCCATGTGGGCGTGGGCCAGATGGAGACCACTTCCAGTCCAGGGGCCCTGAGGTGGGGCCACCCACAGGAAATATGACATTTTACATTTTAATGGTTAACAGCCTAAAGACTTCCTGGTCTTTAGACTTCCCAAAATGGTATATAAACTAGATTCAGTCAAGAATGGACATAAGTAACATTTTATACTATTTTGACACATTTTACTCATTAGAGCATGTTGGGGAGAAAAGGAGGTTTTGTTTTCAAGTGGCAAGGGGAGATGTGCGCTACTTTTTAGGAACTCTCGAGGGACTGCGTGACCGACGAAATGATTTGAAGTTGTCAGTTTGCTAATCTACTTATTGCCAGCCTTGCTAGCTTGTCCACTTGTACTGTTAGAGAGTAATCAGAAAAGACCCCTAACACAGTCCTTGAAGAAATAGTAAAACTTAACAGCAAAGCCAAATGTGGTTGTTGCTTGTTTATCGACCTGCCATGTTCTTTATTCTTTAACCTCCATTCAGCTATGACAAAGCAGTAGCCAACCCTACCATTGTAAAACTTGCGCAGCCAATGGTCAGACATGTTAAAAAATTGTTTGTCTTGTTATGACATTTGTTGATCATCTCCAAGTTGTACATGCTGTACTGTTTAATGGCTCACCTGTTAAATTACCTGTTGAAAGCTGTCTGAGCAAGTGCTTCACCACACTTCTGTCTTGGAAACGTCTTGGAAAACACACACACATGTAGTGACAGAAATATTTCATCAGTATTTGTATATAATTAATTGAGAGAAAGGTGTTATGGTTAATGGTTTGCGGGGAATATGTGAGAGAGAAAAAAAAGTGTCAAGACCATCCTCTCAAATTAAATATTGACAACGTCTTTGAGCACAGATCAAACTTTATAGAAGATGTTAATGAGTCAAAGAGGGACTGATATTTGCATCCAAGCAGAACAGGTTGGACCGGTCACAGTGGGAGGACCTATACCTCTTGTAACCCAAGGTATCAGTGTTGCAACCTGAAAACCTGTGGAGTTATTTTCCCATCTCTCTGACGATGCACCGTGTGTCTGTGTGTGTTCGAGGTGAGTGGTTCAGGGTGCCCTGCAGTGGCCCCAGGGCCTCCGTCCAGTCACTGGGGTTCGAGGCCTTGCAGCGCTACCATCAGGCCAAGAAGCTGGAGGATGGAGGCAGGGACATGGAGTTCAGCATGCGAAGGTGTTGGGGTGGAGAGCTCCTCCACCCTGAGGACAAGGCAGAGGATGTTCTGGAGGACAACGACTTTGTGCAGTTGGGTAAGGGTTTCCAACTCATGCACCTACATGCACAGATCACTATAAGCTAATCTTCTGAGAATCATTTATATTTGTTTTTGGAGTCTTTGCAGGAGAAGATGACAGACACGACTCTTCTCCACTGGCAAAGGCAGTGTATCCTTCCACTGACTTTATAGTAATGTAAGAAGACAATATTTAATAAGATGCTGTTCTGTGAATTCCATCTATTTTGAGTGGTGGGAGATTATGTCGTTGTAAAGTACTAATACTACTAATATAAGGGATGCACAATATAAGGTTTTTGCTGATATCCGATATTTTCCAGCTCAATTTGGCTGATTGCTGATTCTGATATATGCACATATTTTTTAAGCCTAATTGCAGAAAGAATCAAGTCTCTCAGCTCTTATTGTGATGGCCCACCGGCAGATGCAGACATGTAAAATACATGTACACATTCACATTCAGATTTTAAAATTCATCCCTCTTTAACAGGCTTCGATGATGCTCTCCCTGAGACAATCCTGACAACAACCGGGGCAAAATTACAGGTCATTGCTTAAACTCAATAATAAGGAAAAATTAACTGATTTAACTCCAAAAGAGCAGCTTGCAATTAAGGCCACACCTGAAAAATAGCAGCCATAAGAGTCAAAGTCCTCAGTTATATGGTAAGGCACAGAGCTATGACTTTGAAACCAAATGATATTTTGCATTGGAAAACAGTTTCAGCTTAGTTATAATAAACTAACTAAATAACTAAAATGACATTTGGTTTTGGTTGATTTGCCTCTGGGAAACCACCCATAAAGAACAAGAAACAGGCTGGACAAGTTATCACAAGCTGCTGAAAACCTGCCCAATCAAATAACAAGACTAGGTCTACAGTCATGCTGTAGCCTGTAGAATGGCACAGGATGTTGCACTTGTTAGCTACTTCAATTATCAGAAAAAACAATGTGTTCCCTCGGTTGAACACTTGGTACAACACAAGTATGGGGATTGTATCCTTGCAAGACCTGCTTTGCTGATGGGCTATGACATACCCTGCATGCACAGTCCCATCTCCTCAATCTTTTTGTACTTTACCTCGCAAACCTGACTAACAAACTAGCTGTTTTTAAAAAGTCTTAATCAGTAATTTTAAATTGAAAACATGTTTTTTCCGGAGCTGATGAAGTAGGTAATGAGCGACTCATCTTATACCATCTTAGTGCGGTACAGATCGGGTAGGAGGTACGGATCAGGGTACCAACAACGCTCATGGTAACACCATGCTTTAGCGGGTGTAATGTGTGAATGTGTATGAATGCATTAGTTTCTGTTCGATGGGCTTTGCCATCACAAATGTATTATTATTATTATTATTATTATTATTATTATTATTATTATTATTATTATTATTAATCCATTCACAAGTCCAGTCTGGACCAACCCAACCAACCTGACTGACCTACCAATGTTGCCAATTGCCCAGCTGGAAAACCATCCAATCTGTTAACACTATGCAAAATGTATGAATGTGCTTCTAAATAATTTCTTCATTTCCATTTTGTTTTTTGTTATTAATTTGTAATTAATTGGTATGTTCACATTGTCTTTTATTGAACTGAAGTACATCCTTAACCTACTGCAAAAAGACCAAATTCTTATCAAGAGCCCAAAGAGGTGAGTGTGTTCCTGTTATTATGCTTTCAAATATTGTAATTTAAAAAAAATACTGCATCAGAAAACAGTTAGTCAGTTCAACTGACTCCTTATGTTGGATTTTTCTACCAGTACATTTCCCTGGATGGCAACAGTCTGACCACAGCAGATCTGGTCAACTTGGGTCGAGGTTTGTTCAAAATAAAGGTGAGATAAGACACTTTCTAAAGTAAGAGATGGAAGTGGGGACGGACGTGCTGATGTTTGCTGTTTGGTTTCCTTCCAGTTAACCCCTGAGGCAGAGGAAAAGGTGATGAAGGGCCGAGAGGTCATTGAAGCTTTTATTAGAGAGGACAAAGGTAAGGTGTTCCTCCATGTTCTGTTCAATCCAAGAACTGAAACATACGTAGCTCAGTTCACATACTTCACCGGTGTGTATCGTTTCTCACTGCAGTTGCTTACGGAGTCAACACCGGTTTTGGAAAGTTTGCACGCACGATTATACCAAAAGAGCAACTGGTGTAAGTTGTAAATTAACTACAAGTATCAAGAGGCTGGGAGAAAACAACATCCAAACCACCTGATTCAATACAGTGTGTCCCTGAGGTGATTCTGCATCCCAGTGTTGATTATCTGATGCTTGTGTAACAGTTATCACGTTCCTCCACAGGCAGCTGCAGAAAAATGTGGTTCGCTCTCATTGTGCTGGTAAGCTGAAACACTTGTTTAATATACACTGAAAGGAAAACATTTCACTACATATGCTAGCAATATAATAGTTGAGTATGACCCAGATTATTGATTATTGTGTGTGTGTGTGTGT